TTACGCAATTTGGAGTTTACACAGTTTGGAGCCCACGTTTCTTGACCCCGTGCGAAACCCTGGAAAAACGAATTATCAAGAAATGCGGCAGGATCTTGTAGAAAACCTGACAAGATCCATGAAGTCAAGGATCCTGAAAGATTCTTCCAGGATTCCTCAATGAATGATTGGAATTGAGACTACGGTAATGCTTAACCCTCACAGCCACACGCACAGCCAGCATCTATTTTCTAAGCAACATCCGTAGTCATATCCAATCCAGACCGAAGTCAAGCGCAAAACAAATCATTTTGCGCGCTAGTGTCGCGCGCGCAAATGTCGGCGCGCAAGTGTCGGCGCGCAAATGTCGTGTCACGAAAATATTATCATGCATTTTCGAGTGTCACTCAGAAAAATTCATTGAAAATATTATCAAACGAATATGGGCTCGAAAAGTTTGTCTAAAGCGAATCGGGACTCTAAAAAAATTTAAAATAACCAAAATTAGCAACTCTCCAATTTTAAGTTTGATCAAAATACTGTACCAAAGTTAATATTCATTGTGATAAATCAATAAACCAACCTTTGACGACCACGATTATTATGACGTTTAATTCTCTTTAAATATTAGACAACAGCTTCAAAGTTATTTCGATTCTTCTTATTGTTACTCAAAACAACAATATTAAACACGTTCACTCAGTTCTTTCATTTAATAGTACTTTCGATACCAAGTTATGATTGAGGTAAACAGAATTTAAATATATATCAATTTCTTTTTCTTGTTGTATTATCTTATCGTATATCTAAATGAGAAGAGAAAAAAGAAAAAAGAAATAATAGTGATTATAATCTATCAAATAAAGACAGCCAAAAGTTTCCTTTTCTATTTGTTCTTTATCTTTGTCATCTATATATCTTCAATAAAATTGTAAAATGTTGAATTGAAAAAATATGCCTACGATTTTCGATCTTCATTCTGAAAATGTTTGTGTTCATCTCCATCTTATTAAACTTCAAAAAATAGTTTTCTCATACTACTATATCGGAAATAACAAACTTTTACACTAGAAGACATTGTTACTGCTATTACCTCGAGACCTTTAGAAATACTTATCAACTTTCTCTTTGAACAAATATTCAGTGCATTGATCATTTAATTATTTTTTCCTGATTATCTAAAGTCAGCTGTTCTTACAGCTGAATCTATCTCTCTTCTCATTTTAATTATCTTCAAAATCGAGAAAAGAAAATGGTTCCTAGCTTTTTGTACTGTCTTCATTTTGATTATCTCAAGTCTTTGAAAAAAACAAAGTTCACAAAAATTTGGTTTTTTTCGACGCTATTTGTAGACGAAAAAATCCTTTTCTAAGGTTCTAATCAGGGCTCGTAATGGAATGGGACAATCCGATCCCATTCTATGGAACGATATTTTATTTTTAAATATCCCATGGGATGGGATGGGATGACCTTCGCGGGTGTGAGTGTGGGGAGGGTAAAAAGGAAAAGACCCACCCACACCCACACCCCCACCCACACGCACCCACTCCCACACCCCACCCACACCCACACCCCCCCACCCCCACCCACCCCTTACTTTTCTACGATAGGCGGCTGTGGGTGTAGATTGTATGTAAAGAGAACATCGAAAGTCACGTTGATTACTTTTCTTAACGTTCACACCCATATTGGAAAGCTGTTTATCGTTCCAAAGCAGTGAAAATGTCGTGAAACAATTAAAAATAGAAATATTTATTGCTTTTGACACCAATTATTTGTGTCATGTTTGCTTTATCATCGAATATCTCAATTAGTATCCAAAGATGTTCAAAATTCTCAACGTTTATTTAAGTGTTTTTTGGAAGTTTCGAATGTCATGGGACATGTGGATGAATATAATGAAGATCTTCATTTGATACGAAGTGTGAGGGTTCAAATATATTTTATCTTTTATTTAATAAGGACTACAATGAAAGTTGTTTAATTTCTTTTCTTTGCAATACACTCTCTAGTGTATCAGCTATACAGTCAATTGGAAACGTTATTCTATTTTCTGATGATGATATTCCAAAAGGTTAGCGGGGTCGGAATCGGTTTCTCGTAGGATTTATGCTGACCTGTTTCCGGTGATCAGCATCTTATACGATTAAGACGATCAAGTTCGAACATTCAATTTATCTGATGCCCGACAACGCTCTCCACTTGGGCTTAATACTAACTTCAAACAACGATCAGACGTGTTCTTTAGCAGTACGTTGAATGTTAAGTTGACGACAGCTGAACTTCCTGCACATAAACATAGAAGAGGGACGATATCATCACGTTCTGCTGGTGTGCATTCATACAGGATTGTGGACCCTGGCCACAACCATGGTGATCGCACTGGTCCGTCAGATTATAGCAAAGGAACAATGTATTTCTCAAAGCCGCATGGTGACTGTGCCGATGATTGGGGGTCTCATACACACACAATCAATACCGACTTTACAAGGATTAGAATTGAAGAATCAGGAGAACATTTTCATGAAATCGATGGAGAAACAGCTGTGGTCGGAGAAGGGAAATTGTTTAGTATTATCCCGTCCTATCAACTTATACATTATATTTTCTTTGCTGGAGTGCCAAGTTCACCTGATACTTGAGATCATTTTGTTCCCCCCTCTATTATTTTATTCAGTTTCAATTTTAATATAACTTGATATTAAGGATTTATTCAAAATATAAAATTGAAAGTTTTCGTATCTCGATGAAATTCTTCATGATAAACTAAAACTAAGAATTATGAAATGCACATATAAGCAAATGTTTCTTTTCGTTTGTGTTAGTAACATTTTGATAGTGACACGAAAAAGAAGACCATAACAGTAATAGCTGGAGTAAGGATGGACTCCTTTTCAGTGTCACCATTTCACCGATTCATCCCGGAGACAAGTTGTGCCATACATACACTAATACTATTCGATATTTGCTTAACACAGTCAATATAAATTAGTGTAAAACGGTAGAACAATTACCGGTTCGACAGGTTTATTTTCATCGTTGCATAATTGATCAAGGAAATATATTATATTTATAAAAATTCATATGATGAATATGTTGATGACCTTACGAAAAAATAAAATAATAATTTTAATCTTTGTCTACATGATCCATAGACACAAGACTTCAAAACAAGACGCGTAAAAATTCGTTTTGATTTCTTAGTAACGGCGTTTTTAAGATAACTCGGAAAATCAACATGCTAAACAATAGGAATCAAACTAAAAATGTCTCTCGCATCCTTATATCCTAAATTGTTGTTGGCGTTTTGATAGGCATTCTGACGCATAGAATACAACTGAAGATGAGCATGGAAAACTTACGAAAATTGTATTGTTTTCTGCAATTATCTCTTATATAGCTAGATATAATAATGATTCTTTGACGATTATGTTTTAAGACAAGGTTTGAAAGATCTAAAACAATATTCATTGATCTAAGAAACGACAACATCCTCCATTTCTAGCTGAATGGATAGTTCTGTTTGAATTTCAAATGATCAATAACGAAGTTGTTTTACAGATATATTGCTTTGTAATCAACTGATTTGATATGTTCAAATAGATGATAGATAGTATAGAATTTTTCAAATTTTTCATGATGGTGAGTTTTCCATCAAAAATACGGAAGATTTGTAGCTCGACTTTCATCAGTTGATACTAAATATTGTTTAAGAAATGATGAGATTAATGTACAGGGTGTAAAAAAACCATTACGCCCCCCCCTTCCAGACCTAAAGACCAAATAGTACCCCCAATAATTTTATACCAAATGAAAGCCCGCAAAAAGTTACGTCTAGTGGTATAGTCAGAACAAATATAGTTTGTAATATTATAACGATTCTAGGCTCAATACATCATTTTCACTTATGTATCACAGTCTCATATCAATTGAAATGATACAAGTTATCTTTCTTCACTTTCGAATTACGTATTAATAGATCGTAGTTTTCATGGCTCCAAGTTTTTATTAAATGTACGATATCGTAGACCAATATGTCACGTATTTTGCCAAATTTTCGTTTTCTAATGTTATATTTGAGTATCACAAAGCACGTGAGCGAGTTGAGTAATGTTTAGTGTGAATTATCAAAAGCCTTACTATTGATGACTGATAACGAGAAGAAGGAACAGAAAAAAAGAAAGTTATGTGCACATTTATGCACGAACAGATAAGAAGAGAATACAGAAAAGAAAATGGTCGAGTGTCGAAATATTTTCAACTTTTTTCATTGATTTTCTTTCTGAGTATCTGTTGTCCGCGCAAGTAATTTTTATTCACGTTAGACGTTGAACAATTTGCTGATTAGTTAATAAAAAATTCTATGGTACATTAATTGAAAAACCAAAATGGCTAATCTGCTTCATGATTCGGAAGAGCAACGATTCGTTGACAGAATTCGATGTGTCACATATCGTGAAATACGTGACGAACTGATTGCAAGAACAGGAGACTCAATTATTACTCGCCCTTGGATTTCCGAGAAGCTACGTCGCAGTGAAGATTGGGTACGACGAAATTGGAATAAATCTATCGAAGAATGTTATACACAATTTGGCAGTGGTCGACCCCAGGTGCTTAATCAGGAGAGCAGAAACATTATCTCTTCTGCAAATGGTGTCAAAAGCAGTAGCTGTCGAAAAGTTGCAAGAGAGATTTTAGAGAAAACAAAACAGCGGGTGAGTCACATGACTATTTACAATGAACGCCATCGGCAAGGATTAAAAGCTTTCCATGTGATTGCCAAGCCACTGAAGACAAATACACATATCGAAGATCGCAAGTGGCTAGCAAATTTTCTTACTGATTGGACTGAAGAAGATTTTCTACATGTTGCACCTTCGGATGAATTTTACATTTATGTTGTAAGAAAACCAAACCATCAAAATGATCGAATTTGGGCAAGAAGTATTGAAGACATCAGTGATGATGAAAGATACCGAGAGATGGTTCACAATGCAACATGTATTGGGGTTTTCGTCATGTTTACTGCAAAAAAACTACTTTGGGTGCTAAAAGAACATGGACAGTCTTGGGATGGCGCTTATTTTCGTGACACTATCCTTCGACAACAGGTGATCCCATTTCTTCGTGATTCGTCCAATGTTCTCGATACGAACGAAGTGATATTTCTTCACGACAAGGCACCTTGTATGAAAGCGAATGCAACACAACATCTTTTAGAAGATGAGAATGTGAATTTCTGGGGAAATTCAATTTGGCCAGGCAATAGTCCTGACATGAATCCTGCAGGAAATATTGGTGCAATTATTAAAGATAAAGTTGAGGAACTAATGGAAAATGAAGATCGTCGTAGCAGATACAATTACGATGCACTGAAAACGAATTTGGAGAATACGCTCAAAGATCTTGAAAATGATACAGATCTTTTTATTGACTTGTTATGCTCGATGCGAAAAAGATTTGATGCTCTCAAGGCTGCTGATGGGGGTCATACGAAGTTCTGAAACTTTCGAAAAAGCATTTTTTAGTATTCAATATTATCAATAAACTGAATAATTAATGATTCACAACTTAAGTTACTGTTGAGCACAACGGCTTTTGACGTACTCGAGATTGTGATATATAAGTGAAAATGATGTATTGAGCCTAGAATCGTTATAATATTACAAACTATATTTGTTCTGACTATACCACTAGACGTAACTTTTTGCGGGCTTTCATTTGGTATAAAATTGGTGGGGGTACTATTTGGTCTTTAGGTCTGGAAGGGGGGGGCGTAATGGTTTTTTTACACCCTGTATAATATATGTTGAAAATAGATACTTGGATTAAAATAGTCGAATAAGAGTAAAGCATATTTCAAAAATGCTTTGTTGACAAGTTTCCCAAGCTTAAAAATGAATTCAGTAGTCCAGCATGTTATTCTGATTATTTTTTTTTCCTGTTTTGATCATTGATGACGATTCTTTTGCATGTTTCTTTTCGTTTGGTAGACTGAAATTCAATAAATTTCTTCTTTTGGAATACTCAACATTTCGATAAGTCCCTATGGGGATTGTATCGTGTTTGATAAACGAAAAATGGATACACGGCTGAATGTATGTGTACTGTCGAACGGTTTGATTTTGTAACAGAACAGAGAAAAAAATGTCTAACCACTTCAGCTATTCATCAGACCGACTGTATGCTTTTCAAAATCTCCTTCGATATGTATTTGATCACAATAAACGCGTCGAGATACTTTCTTTTCTTTTTCTTTTCAAACATAAACACGAACATTAAGTCCGTCCATAACAGAGATGTAATTTTTTTTCACGAAAATAACAAACACCCCTTTGCATGAATGTCTCGCGTTTAGTATTTCATTGTTAAATATTAGTCGTATCGAGCTTGTTAATAATTCTTTTGAGTCAAACGATACAGTACAGTTCTAGTACATTAATTCATTTGTTAATAATTAAAATTGATAAAATCAATATTTATATGTATGCATAGGAACGACTAAACAGTGAATCTCAAGTACTCTGGATGGATAAGCAAAATGAATGGCTTATTGGTATATTTATTCTGAATGAAATAGGAACGGTAAAATACTTCTCAGTAGATTCGTACTTAGTATCATGGAATAGAGAACATCCGGTGGCACTACTACATAGTTCACAGGTTTTCGTAGCTATGTGAATGTAATTCGTTTCTTCATGTGTTGCACGCGAAATCTTTCGATAATATAATGACAAACTTCGAAACTATTGGCGGATTTTTCATTGTTTCTAAAATCTGAACAGATTGAAATTTGATATGGACAGAGAAAAAGTGTACAGTTATAATCACTTCATACATAAAATAGTCGTTTCTTTTTAGATGGTTGAATTACTATTGATTTTTGAATTATACTATAGTAGTTTTAAATATGCAATATAATTGCAAAGAAAATTCACATATAAATTCATTTTACTAATAAACCAACTATTTGAATAAACACATAATAATCTAAAAACTATTTGTTTTGATAAAAAACGAAATAAGTGTTACCAATGTCATTGAACTCAATGTGATGGTATAAAATGAAATTACTTAAACCAATAACAATGAAAACTTATTGGTGATGATGACCAGGATTATTGAGCAAGCATGGAAATTTGGGAAGAAAACTTACGCTCATATCGTTTGGATATTCGTGTTTATACATACAAATCTATTCTTTTTTGTACAGTGTAAGGTAAATTAACCGTATCAGTGCACACTCTATCGATTGTCCTGATACATAATGGTAAGTATTATATCACGTCACTGGATGTCAATCAAGCATAACTGTAGGCAAACTGCACTAGAAAAATACAATAACTATGTATTTTTGGCCATCTACGTACAATAATCTACATACAATCATATAACGATTAAAAAATTGTGTCATACTCATGCATATCATGAAAATATTTTAATTTATCACCGTTTAACATTCAAGAAACATTGAATATTTTAAAACTCGTACGTCTTTTAATTGTGCCACTGAATCATACCAATCACCCATAATATGATTAATGTTAGACATTAGTATGATTTTTGAAGGATAATATCAATTTCAGTTGTCTTTGGTAAGAAAAGCGATGATTTCACAGTGAGAAATAATCAAGAATGACGTTTTGTTTCATCTAAATAAACTACTGTATGCTACGTACCCTTTATAATTGAGATTTGTTTCATAGGATGACTAAATAATAATACGATCATGATATAAGTTGTTGACCTTGCGCTCACATGAAAAACGTTTTAATGTTAACTCTCATCAATTGGACTCAATAGATTTTAATCGATAGTCGAGTACAACCAAGACCCATGTAAAAAAGTTATGGCAGAAATCAAATTAAAATCGATAATACAATGATTGAAAATCGATTATAATCAAAAAAATCCAAAAAAACAAAGTTCCATCGATTATTCCGATTACTTTCGATTATAATCGTTTAAAATTCGTGAACAAAAATTGGTTGTAATCGGAATAATCAATGCAACGTTGTCTTTTTTTTGGATTGATTTTGATTATAATCGATAAAAAATCGATTAAAGGTATATAATTATACCCGACTGTCAATCATTGTGACATCGATTTTAATTTGATTTCTACCGTAATATTTTTACATGAGGAGATTCTGATGAGATATAAAAACATAAAATGGTTATTGATTAAACGTAACCATTCTTTGGTTCTTATAGTTCTAATGTTAAATGTAAAAAACAAGCATGACTGTGAGAAACATTTCTAATGCAAATAGAATGACAAAAGCTTCACATATCGTAAAAAAATATAACATTAATTGACTATTAACAAACGTGAAACGTAACAATCTATGAAATTTTAGATTACAAATTAGTGAGTTAACATGTTGATTCAGACTATTAATAAATTAATACAAAGAATTACTACACATTATAAAAGATGGTATTGGATGCGTCATATACTGTTGTTTACCATCATTTTCACTTTAGTATTCACAATATTTTCCATGATAATAAGACATATTTCTTGGAAAACGCATTTGTTAGTACCTCATCATTCAATAAGCGCATGGATGGATCCTCGAGAAACCGCACTCATCATCAAACATCTTCGAATATACAATCAAACAGCGAGGTAAATTACGTACATATGATGAAATGGAGTACATTGAATTGTTTTTGTATTTGTTTGAAGCACGATACAGTTTGTTTTAATATAATATTTCATACATGACATTCATGCTCTGCTTACGAGGAAACCTCCTGAGGTGACTCCCGAAGATTTCAATGAATATTTGTCCATAGATACTACATAATACCCTAGTAAAAATCCTAAAAGGATTTGAGTGCAAAATGCTTCCTTGAAAAGTTATGGTCATTTTTCTGTTTTTTTTTCGTTTTGCGTTGGGTCACCGGAAAAGTGATATCAACGAATTTTGATCTGAAATCTTGTTCCTTAGTAGGTCTACTAATCAGCAGAATACACTAAAATTTTCAACCATAATAACCGCATTCTTCTAAATATATTCAATTTCTCAGAAATTCGATTTTCTAATGTTCTTGAAAAATGGCATGTTTTTCAAAACCTAAAGTTCTTTAAAAGAACATATTTTTTATGATTGAAAATTTCAGTGTATTCTGCTGATTAGTAGATCTATTAAAGAACAAGGTTTCAGAACAAAATTCGCGTTTACTTCACTTTTCTGGTGACCCAACGCAAAAAGAGAAAAAAATCAGAAAAATGACCATAACTTTTCAAGGAAGCATTTTGCACTCAAATCATTTTAGAATTTCTACTAGAGTATTGTGTAGTATTTATGGACAAATATTCATTGAAATCTGCGGGAGTCACCTCAGGAGATTTCCACGTTAGTCTGAAAATAAAAATATAGTCTAGTTATCAATCCAGAAAATCACTCTGAAATGACCATATTCTTGTTTTGTTTTATTAAATAAAGCGGACGGCCAGCAATCATGTTTGAATATGGCGCAGGAGGCAGCACATTTGTTTTCAGTAAGTATGTTCATCGTTATATGAGCATCGAACATAATATTGATTATTGTCGTATCCTCGAACAAATGGCCGCTGGCCAACCTAATTGCTCGATTACTATATCTTATATGGAATCTCGTTCGTCTAGTTTTATTGAAAAATATCGGTTCGAACGGAATCCGACAAAAACTGAGACTAATTCTTCCATTCATGTTTATTGCATTAAACCTGAGAATTCGATGCTTCTTCGTCGATCCTGGAGGAATAGTACATGAAGCACCTATTCGATGTATAAAAATTATGTCGAATTCATTTCGACTTATCTTCAAAATCAACTATTTGATTTTGTTCTTATTGATGGACGAGCACGACCTACAACGTTTTGAAACAATTGAATGGACCAAGAGCAAAATTATTTGTACACGATTGGAATCACCGTAGCGCATATCATGTTATCACGAAGGAGTTCTATAATATTATTGATCAGCAAATCACAAGTAAACAACCAGGTGGCGGAGGACTTGTCGTTTTAGAGAAAAAGCCTGGTGTTACAGGAAAAGCGAAGATTGATGAAATTGAATGGACGCACGTTCAAAGGCCGAGTTGGTGGCTGTAATATTTATAGACATCATGTGATTAGATTGGTAACAACTAACAGATATTGTGAAATAATCCATTTATATCTAGTATCTCGGTAATAAATGTGAGCATCTTCAACACTTGTAACTGGCATGTTTTCGAAAGAATCAACAACCTCCTTTTTTAAATATTGACTACAGAATTCATTAGTTTTTTAATGAACGAACTCGGTTGTTATCGTGTTTTTACTTCCTTTGATTAACTTTCGTCTCTTCAGCACTTTGTAGCATATTTACTAGATGAGTTGATGAGAAGTAAGAAAGGTCGTTGTAATTAGTTTATGATGAATTATTCTGTTGTGCTTTTTAAAAAATTTGTTATTGACGTTTTGTTGTCGAACGACAGCTTCTTCAGAAATTTATTGATGTGAAATCA